GGTGGCCAACGGTAATGCGGGTGATGATGCTGGTGGAGAATCTAAATGAAGCGCATTAGGATTTACTCGCGGAGTAAAACACTCGTTCTCGTTACGGGGGCATACCTGCTCAAAAAGGGGTTGTATTCGTTTGGTGGAGAGCCGATGAGATTGCTTGCGAGGCGCCGCGCTTCTTCGGTTTGGATTCCCATGAAATTGACACATTTACGACGATTGAGGTATGACTGGAGCACCTCGCGATGCCTGGCGAACGTCTTGCCGTATCGGAGGAATCCGAGGCTGAACGTCCATCCAAGTCTGCGAAGTGCAAGTCTAAGTTAACCTCGGGCGAGGGAGGAGCGAACGCACAGGGTGTAAAGTGGGAACTCGGGTCGGTCGCTGTAAATAGAGCTTCGCTTGTCGAGGAGATCCACCGCAGCTCGATGGGTGTCGAGGACGATGATGCGCTGGCCGACGACCTCCAACCGCATCACATCCCCTGCGGAGAATGCTATCAACCCAGCGGGCCGAGGAGTTCGTCGACACACACCGTATAGTTTGGCCCACTCGTGAAATACCAGTGCCGCGTCCTTGGAAGGCATGTACCTGAGATGCCCGATGAATGGATCCTTTGGGGGTCCGGGCGGCAATTTCGAAGGTTGTCCGCGTCGACCCAGGAGGTATAAGAGTGACGCAATTCCCACTGAGAGCAGGCAGTAAGCGAAGGCTACTTGAGACATTGGCTCGGTGGGGTAAGAATGGGATGGGTGGGAGAGCGAATTGTCACCAGATGAACTGGCCACATAAACCGCCGACGTGGGAGCTATCTGTATGTTTCGGGCCCCGGCGGCTTTCCATGGGAATTTTTTTGAATGCGAAGAAGACGATGCGCGACAATCGGGGGTCGGACAGGCACTTGTGAAGAGTCAGACGACTCCAGAGGGTTGTACTTTGTTGACCGGGGCCTTGGTTGTTCGTAGGTTGATACTTTGCGAGCCAGCCCTTTGGAAATTTTGTATCCGCGCTGTCGGTTTGAGCTTCCAGACCAGGGAACAAAGGATTTTCCGACACAAAAACCAGAGGCAAACGATGATTTGCTTGTGGGCAGCGGCAGCAAGTTGACCGTTGTAAAACTTTTAAGGAGGGAAGAGCCAGGGAAGAGTGGCCTTCGTGGCCACCGTGGTCCGTGGAGACTCGAGAGATTCAGGAAATGGTAGTCTCCAGAATACGACAGGGAGGTGGTTCCCAGCTAGGCCCGAGGCGCGTTCAGTCGACGAAGGGGGAAGCCTTGAACCGCGCGGCCAGCGGCTATGGAAGGAGAGGAAGGGAATGGCCGCGCAACCCCATCAGATGGCGGAGCAATTTGGAGTGCCGGCATGCCGATCCAGCGACAATGATGGTCAAAGACCCATTGAACTGAACCAACTGACCAGCCCCGAGTCCTCGCCCGTGCCGGAAGGCGCTGAGCAGAAAAAAAAACAACACCGCAAGAAACCACGCGGACGCGGGGAGTTGAACCCCTCCTCAACTGCTCAACAGAATCATCTGGCCACTTAGAAATCGCAGCGCTGCACCGCACACTCCGTCCGCACTCTCCATCCTCCTTTTATATGCAACACAATACACCCCAGCCAGATACTTGCCCGGGGGCGGCGGAGGCAGAAAAATCTCTTCGCAGAAACCAGACAGGCGGACGTGGGGAGTCGAACCCTAGAACTGCTTCAAATCCTGTATCCAGAATAAACCCATACTTCGCAGTAGTGCACCGTGCACAACATCCGCACTTCCCCTCTCTACTTCATCCCCCCAATACACTCCCATCTTCTCTCCTACTCAGGTTCGGACGAAAACAACATTTTCTAACACCGCCTATGCGGATGGGTGGGAGTCGAACCCCGACACTGCGTGAATCATTCGAGAAGACGCATAGATTGCAGCAATGCACCGCGCACTCCGTCCGCATTCTCCCTCTTTCTTTTTCACGCAACACACTGCCCGGTTGCAGAAAATGACACCAAAGAGGACCTGCTTGGGGTGCTTCCCCGCGAGACAAAAATCCAACCGTGGGAAATTCACAGGTCGGATCAGCGATTATAATTAGTTGACCCAGCGCAACTCGGCTGGGGCAACAAAAAGCGTTTGGAACATACCAGCTATGCGGACGCGGGGAGTCGAACCCCAGAACTGCTTCAACGAACGGAGGGAAACCATCGATTGCAGTCGTGCACTCCGTCTGCGGCCTCTGCCCTCCTTTTCCACGCAGCACCATGCTCTCCATGGCCCGTTATTTCACGCTGCGGAGGCGGAGGCAGAAAAAATCATTTGTGAGACTCGACGTTGACGGAGGGAATCGAACCCCTGGAGTGGCTGAGCTCGCGCCGAATGTATGAGTTACACACATTCAGCGGTGCACCCAGCACGACGTCTACGAATATAACTGAGTTAGGTATGTATGTACCTCGTCCGATACCCTGCCACCTTGCTGACGTTTGAACCAAATACTCAGGCGACCAGGGCAGGAAGGAAAACAATACTTGATCAAACACGCAGGCGGACGAGGGAGTCGAACCCCTACGCCGCTTAATCATGCATCTATTCTTCGAATGAAACACGGCTGTGCACCGCGCACGACGTCCGCGTTCTCTTTCCGTCCCTTTCACCCAGTACACACAACACTCCAATCAAGCCGGGAGGAAAAACGACCCGCGAGCATGACTCATTACGTGGAAACGGGGAGTTGAACCCCAGAACTGCTTCAAGGCCCACGAAGAAAATCATCGATTGCAGTCGTGCACCACGCACTTCGTCCGCTTTTCCATCCCTGCATTCACTCATGATACTGTTGTCCTTCTGCCGATGCTTCGCAAGAAAAGGAAATGGATACCGCAAGGGAAGGCGGACACGGAGAGTTCAACTCCGCAACTGCTTGACTCAATCCTCAACAGGTCCATGGATCGCAGCGGTGCACCGCGCACAACGTCCGCGCTCACTTTCCATCCCTTCCACCGAATATCCACGACACGCCGCCGCTAGCCTGAAGGAGAAAAAAAAAGATCCGTCTGAAACTCACATAGGCGGACGCGGGGTGTCGAACCCCCTCAACTGCTTGCAATTTTCAATATCGCCACCATGGGTTGACCGCGCAAGACGTCCGGGTTCTCTTTACATCCCTTTCATCTATACACACGACACGCCGCCGCTAGCCTGAATGAGCAAAGAAAAAGATGCGACTCACACTCCAGATAGGCGGACGCGGGGAGTCGAACACCTCAACCGCTTGCAGCAGTTCGGGACGTGGCAATGGATTGCAGTCGTGCACCGCGCAAGACGTCCGCATTTTGTTCCTGTGTGTTTCAGAGTGTCCTTACATCGTGGGGCGAGAAAGGCGTGAAACGGGGCATTGGGTTGCTTCAAAGTGAGGTTGTGCACGGGAAGTGAAATTTGAACGTGGGAGCGCAAGCAAGGGAGGATCGGCCGCGCGAGGAGGGTGTATGGCTGATGTTGGGAGACGAAGCACGTAGACGAGGCGGAGCAACACAAAATGCAATGTGGCCGACGAGTAGGTAGCGGTAGACACAGCGGAAGCGGCAGGAGTGAAACTGATGTTGTGTTCAAGGTACGAGTAAGTTGTATGGATGTACAGCTATTATTTCATGCCGCTTCGATGGTATGGGTTCTGCCTCTAACATCCAGTCAGCCAAGAGGCCCTGGAAGGAAGCCAGACAACCACACACCTCTGCCCAAAATTTCTCCCGACTCGCCACTCACCGCCCCTCCGGCTTCCGGCCCCCACTCTCGCTCCCCTGCGGCCCCTCCCCCTCCGTGCTCTGACTCGTCTCCTTCGGGTTCCCGCCCTTCTCCTGCTCATACCCCTCCTTCCCGCCGTACCGCTGCGCCCCGCCCGCGCCCGGAGCAGCGTACGGCCGCTCGTCGCTCATCGTGCTGTACTCATCCATCCCCGTCTCGTTCTTGTCGTTCGTTGAGCCCGGGGAGGAGGCGCCCGCCTCGGCGCCGGTTGCGCTCCATTTTCCGGATGGGGGCTGCGAGGTGCGGGGTCAGTCTTTTTAGGAGGCAAAAATGAGAGAGAGAGGAGGAAAAGACGCACCTCATGCGGCTTCTGCACGTTCTCACTCCCCGGGTCGACGCGGTGGATTTTAGGGTCTGCTGCGGGCGTGGAATCGACCTCTTTCTCGTACGAGTTCGTCGTATGGGCGGCTCTGCTGCTCGTGCGTGGCCCTCGAGACGCGAGAGAGAGAGTGCGGATTGGGCGGAGGAGGGAGCGGGAGAGCATTGTGGTGGTGGTGGTTTGTGAGAAGGTGTTAGCCGGCGGGAGCGGCGACGTCATCCGTACGTCATGATTGATTGTTCCCACGGTTGAGTTTTGGTTCATTCTGCTGTGGGTGTATTGTCCCAACGACGCCAGCGCCAATTCCACTCTATAGCCTCCCCGATGCGCCCCGTGTGATATTTCATCCTCGCAAGCAAATTCCGAGACGGTAATCGGAAATTTGAACCTCGGCGGGAAATGCCGAGTTCACGTACGAAGTTTGAGGATGGGGAGAATGAAAACAGAGGGAGGCAGGCCCGGTGTGTGTAGAGCTAGTTGGCCTGACCTGAAAGTCCGGGGCACAGCAAAAAAATATGCACGAGCATACAGAACAACACCTTGAGTCGAACACCTTGAGTCGAACAAGGACTCCGAGTTAGTAGCCTGGCACTTGAACACTCGGATGTGAGATGCCCCAAATTGTTGTCTTCCAGCTAATTCCAAGTAGATGGGTCATGGAGAATTAGAGGATCAAAGAACGGCCAGTGTGCAGTCGAGTAGGCATGGTTTGAACGAATATTTTTCCTAGGTCTACCCTCGAGGAACTGACTCAGATGAATTTCAGGGCTCAATTATTGAGTGGTGATGCCCCGTGTACGCGTCCCTGTGAGGAAACTGCACGGCTACGGGTGCGTAAACTGCAAATTCCAAGCTTACATTCATGAAAAAGGTAAACCCACCACGAAGAAGATCATAGCAGCACCTTGAATCGAACAAGGACCTCGGGGGTATATCTATCTTCCAAAGCAATTGACTCCCGTGTGCGAACATACACTATGCCGCTTTCCCCGTCCAGCATCGAGGAATCAAGTGGGTGGAGTATTGACATGTACGGCCAGCGACGTAGGCTCACAGCGAAGTGGATGCGGTACTTACCATTGAATTTGGACAGGCGCCTTGCATTAATTCCTTGGGATCAAGCAGACGGGCCGAGTTTGACTCAAGGACTACCCGAAAGTCAATGCGCCAATGACCGAAAAAGACGAAGAGTTAGCACAGAGCAGTAGCTTGAATTGAACAAGGACCTCGGGGAATGTATTGTCGCGATGACGTGACCCCGTGTGCATTCATGCACCATACTGCTTCCTCGCCTCGCAGATACTCTCAGGCAGGTGCGGACCATGGAAAATTCAGAACCCTACAGAAAAATGAGCCTACCGCTAGCTTAAAGCAGCACCTTGAGTCGAACAAGGACCTCGGGGATATAATCAAGATATGACCAAATCAGCGAGGCTCCGCGTGCAACCATACACCATACTGCGTTCTTGTACCCATTTTGAAGCAGGTGAGGTCCTCGAAGACATCGAAGGCAACACCTCGCAGCCGTCCCTGCTTATAAGTCGGATTCTGCACGCGGCCGACTTGACGCACCGCGTTCTTCCCCGTTGCAACCGTAAACCTGAATCATTTTCCTCCTCTACCGACGTTGGTCTGACCGAGATCGGAGTTGGGGACAAAAACGCTAAATTTCTGCCTCTGGGCAGCACCTTGAGTTGAACAAGGACCTCGGGGATATAGGTCAGATCTCGACGAAACAGCGAGACCCCGTGTGCGGCCATACACCATGCCGCTTCCCTGGCTCGGATTTTCAAGCACATGAGGCCCTCGAAAACATCGAAGGCAAACACTTCGCGGTCGTTCCTACTACTCATAAATTGGATTCTGCGCACGGCCGACTTGATGCACCACACGTACCGCTTTCCTTGCCTTGGCTCCAACTAATAAACCTGAATAATCTTGCTCCTCTTCCGAAGGCGGCCTGACCGAGATCAGGGTTGAGGAGAAAAAACAATCTGACTTCCTGATTCCTGAATAGAGCAGTACCTTGAATCGAACAAGGACCTCGGGGGATTCAACGTCGAAAGCACAAAGGACAGCAAGTGCATCCATACACCATACTGCTTACTTGCACCTAAGTTTCAGCAACTGTCACACCTGCAGAATAGCACTCACAGCAGCAAACCCCGACCTCGGGATCTATATAGTTCCTGTACCCAGCCGAGAAGATAAGACCGCACAACGAGAAATGATGTGGTACGGGACTCCCACTTGATCGTGAAGTCGGCAAGGTTCTCAAAAAATTGGACGCGCGAAAAAACACCGTGCGACACCACCCAGAGCAGCACCTTGATTCGAACAAGGACGTCGGGGGCAATTATCCAGACGTATTGAGTTTACAACCCTGCGTGCAGCGATCTTCCATACTGCTTCAATACAACACCTTTTCAACCTGAGACCAAGCGAATGCTGGTTCGGATCTATCCAATCGTCTGGCGTCACAGAATTCGCAGAATTCGGGGGTCCGACACCGGCATGACGTCTGCCGGAGCGCATCTTCCTAACGACGATCAGAGAGGTTGAACCTCCGCCAAAATCCAGCTGAACCTGAGCTTGGAACCGCCGGGAAAAAAAAATCCGACCTATCTACCTAAAGCAGCACCTCAGTTCGAACAAGGACCCAGGGTCTAAGTTTCTTCTGTCCCGAGTAGTGCAGCCCCGCGCACCATACTGCGACTGCGCTCTTGTAGCAGCCTCGCAAAAGTCGAGGGCACGTGAAACTGTAGTAAATCTATCTCAGGTTTCCAATCGTCCGAACCGTGAGAATCATTGTTCAACCGTGGGAACATTGAATCAAATTCTCGAAGTGAGTTCTCGGCGACGCCCTATTCCCTCCAGCAAATGGGCCCTGACGTCAACGCTGCCGTCCGCTCGCAGGAATTCTGGGCGGACACGGGGGAGTCGAACCCTACAACTGCGTGATCCATTATCATTTCCGACCGTCGCCCCCATCAATTGCAATAGTGCACCGTGCTTGCTCTCCTCACTTCGTCCACCCAATATACTTGTAGGGTTTGCTAATCTTTGTACGAGCCCGAGAAAAAGGCATTCGGTTCATCCCCCTGGAGGCGGACGCGGGGCGTCGAACCCTGAAACTCAGACCGCCAAATTGATCAAGCTATCGTGAGTTGTAGTGACGCACCGTACACAGCGTCCGCAGTCTCCATTTCCCTCAGTCATACCATACCCCCAACCGTTGGTCTCGTTAGTACATTAGAGTCGCTGGGAAAGTTCAGATTCACACTCTTGTCCAGCCGCAAGCGGCCAGCGCAGCCGACACCCACCAGAATGGATTGCAGCACACGAGAAGACAGAGAGTCGTTGCCCAAATGTGGGGTAAAGGTACACCATGACACTGTCTTAACCCAAAGCTCGATTCTCAAGTCAAGAATGACCCGCATGGATCCCAAACAGCAGTACCTCGAGTTGAACCAGAACCTCGGGGATAAGACATCGAATTTCTTATCTCTTCAGTGACAACCACGCATGCACCATACTGCTTTCCTCGACTATCACTGGGATGTCCAGCCTCGTGTGAAGGCGAATTTCTGGGTTCCAACTTCGAACCAGCTCAGGAAGAGGCAAACCAGTTAAGACGCAGCTCGATTGCGGAGTTGAATCAGGATGTACCTCTTCGTGATATCATTCCAGGGTACGATGCGCGAGACCGTGCCCCCGCGACGCGTCCGACTCCCTGCCTCATTCAGCGCGTGAATATATGGGGGAAAATAGCCCCAGAATTACTCTCGAGCAACGTCACGATAAAAAGCGTTGGAAGCTGAGTGAATGATTGCAATTGGCGACTGGGAACCAACGATATCAGGCCAAGACAAGTTACAACACGAGCCGAGCCGAGCCAAAAAGCGGTGGAAACGCCGGTGGAAGTTCGGACGCCGAGAATCGAACCCGGAATTGCCCCTTCCTCGCCTCTTCCTCGTGGATGTTCAGCGGCAATGAGAAACGTTTTCCTGCGCCACGTCCGGCTAACTGCAGTTTACTCTTACCTGCAGTTCACTCAAGGTGGATGGATGAGTATGGCCGAAACATGAAATTGAATATGATTCTTCCGTCAGAGGTATTACAACTCACGTATCGCATATTATTGGCTTGAACTTACTATGAATGAGTATAGAATTGACGAGCGAAAACCAATCAAACCGAGGCACGACTCTACTTTGCCGTCGCAAAGCCAACCGCGTTCCGTCCGAGGTCGTAGATGGTGTAGTACTTGCGCAGGAACACATCACCTGCGCCCTCCTCAGTCCCTTCAAGCCGCAGAAGATTCAACGACAACACGTACCGAGGATCCAGAACGCGCCGCCGGGAAGGTCAAGATCTAACCCCGTGAACGCAGAAATACAGCTTCCCCTCACGTCGAGGATGTATTCAGAGCTCTGGAGCGGGTAGGGCTTCCCGTTGAAGTAGAAGGTGAATACCGGGAGTGAGGAGATTTTGTCGCAGTCGATGGTGTACTGCCCGTTCCAGGACTTCTTCGCGCCGATCATGTCGTTGATTAGCTCTGCGATGACCGTTGGCGCGACGATGAGCGAGGTACCTTATGTACGCATCAATCAGCGGCGGGAAGAGGGCGGCGATAGGATTGGGGGGCGATGCCCGCGGACTAACCAGTGTCGATAGCAGCTCCAGCGCCGTCGTCAAACTCAAGGGTTTCGCCGCGGAAAAACACCCTATCAAGCATTCGATCTTTCCGGTGTATGCGCCAGAATCGATTCCGCCGAAAGTAACCTCGCCACCGTCGTCCCCCGAGGAACCCATGCGGAACGAAAAGACGGGCTGGTCGAGCAAGCCCTGGTTGATCATTGAATAGAACGGCGGGGTGATGTGGTTGACACTGATGCTGTCGTATGCAAGCCCTACCAGCCCCACAAATGTCAGTGAGGTGCTTGATGAAGTAGAAGGAGGGGCACAGGAGATGTACCGAGAATCCCGTCAAATTTTCCGTACGCGAACGCCAAGCCGGGCTCATCGGTAGCCTCCACAAAGTCCTGTTTACGGATGCTGAGGTCGCCGATAGCGAGCAGGTCGTTGGAGACGAAACCCGTGATCGAGCCAGAGCCGTATTCGGGTTTCGTCTTCGAGCCAGAGCCGTATTGGATGCTGAAGGCGGACCCGTTGGCCCTGTATGTGGAAGACGCGCTGGAGTCGTATGGGGTGTGCATGTAGCACGCGAAGGATCTGCAGCTAACACTGGGTATCCAGAGGTTGGATGAGCTGTTGACGGCGTCAGTGGCCACAGTTAGCGTGAAGTGTGGTGTGGGCCCACCCAGTATCGAGGATAACCTATATACGGGAGGGGACGTGAGCACTTGAGAAGGTTGGGCGGGTAGTGGGAGGCCATTACCTTGAACGACTGTGGCGGCGTACCTATCTTGATCTCGGCAAAGTACTGCGCATTCAGAAAGTCTTGAAGTAAAATGAGATCAACGACACGGGAGGAGTCAACGACATATTGCTTACTGGTGAGAGGCACTTTGTGGCCGCCCATCGCCTGCTCCTCAGACCAGACGGCCTGGGTCTCGCTGCCCTGGTGGAGCCGACGACCTGATCCGCCCGCGATGAGGGACACTTGTCCTTCCTGAGAGGGTGCACCATATTTATTGGCGAGGTACGCAAGTTCGAGCGCAGGGTCATTGATAGTAGGAGTGACCTTGGTTAGCTTCAGCTTGTGAAGGCCAGCGGCGCAGATCAAGGGAACGAGGGAAAGGAAGACAGAATTCACGAGCATTGTAGTGGTCAGAGGGATGACGCCACCCATTTTGCCCGTATACTTATAGACGTACCGCTGGCAAGGTGGATGGAAGCCCGAGGCAAGCGAAAAGAAGATCACTAGAACGCGTTTAAACGTCGAATGCCAGCCCCGATTCGGCGCTAGAGGGCGAGCGAACCCGTAGAAGCAGTCGAACGCGCCCAGAAGCGGCTCACACT